ACACACACACACACACACACACACACACACACACACACACACACACACACACACACATAAAAGACACATAAAATAACCAACAATAAAAACAAGAACAAGGGGAACAGCTACCTCCCTAGATACTCTCCCTGACGTTGTTTTGTCTATTGTTCCAGGTCATTCGTCTTTCTGGTAGTTTGTTTGACAGCCTTTCTATATGAGTTTCTGTATCTGTTACTGCCTTCGCGAACGCTCACATTTTTTTCAAATACAGCAAAATAAAATACATAGGTTCGGCATTTATTCATACAATAATGTTGGCACCACGGCTCATTTTATTATATTATTTTTTTAATGGCTTTATAATTCAGTTCATCTTTTTACAACGCAACGTACGGTATATTGTTTGGCTACACATTTATTCAGCTATATAATAATCACGCACATTTGTTTATAATATATTATATTGTACATGACCTTATATCTAAGCCCATCTTTCCCCCCCCCCCTCTTTTTTGTGTGGGGTGGAGGGGGGGTTCTTTGCTCATCTTATGTTAGTTTTGGCGTCGACTTGTTATATTGTTTTAAAATAGCTTCATCATATTCCAGTCTATCCTTTATGTTTCTCAACCTATATCTCGGTGTGTTCATCTATTTGTTCGTTTGTTCGTGTGTTCGTGTGGTTTGTCCGGTAGCTCGTGCGTGTACTCACCCCTTCCTCGGCGGCTGTGAGAGGTCTGTGGCTGGCAGCCTCTCGGTCCTCCTCCATGTCCAAACGGGTGTATCTCCGGCCCGCGACTGGACCAGGCATCTATCGGTGGAACGTGAGCCGCTACAGCGCACGTGGGACGTTACCTTCACTGCTCATTACTCACACTACCTGCCTGGGCACACGCACACACACACATACACGCACATACACGCATACACACATACGTACACGCACACCCACGCACGCACGCACGCACACACACACACACACACACACACACGTACACACACGTATACACACACATACACACACACGTACACACACATACGCACGCACATACATACACGCACGCACACACACACACACGTACACACATATGCCCGTACATACATACACGCGTGCGCACACACACACACACACACACACACCCGACACACACACGCACGCACACATACATACTCACGCACATACATACACGCACATACACACTCATATACACACAGATACTCGGGCACACACGCACACACGCCCGCACACATACACACAGACAAGCGCACACACTCTCACGTCTGTGTACATAAATATACATACACCAAGGTGCCCCTACAATTATATAATATATGCACAGACACCAGCAGCACACCTCTTTTTTTTCTTATATTATATGTATTACCATAATATCCTCCTTCACCTATGTTATCTTTGGCTTCCTCTGTCTGCCTGTCAATTTGTCTATCTGTCTGTCTTTGTCTCTATCTGCCGGTCTGTTTCCTCTCTCTCTCTCTCTCTCTCTCTCTCTCTCTCTCT